CATTAAACTCTCAGTCCCCAAGCGGTCGAATCTGACCGCGGCGCTATTCCGTCAATATCCAAGCGGTCGGATTCGACCGCGCACACCCACATCACTTTAAACCGTTTAAACTTATATTTAGAGACTACTTTTTTTATGAAGAAGTTTGGCATTATAGAATCGATATGAAATTTCCTATCCTATAGTGCAATAAAGTCAAGTTATCCTATGGATATTTATTTATAATCTACGTTCATTTCATACGCCACTTTCGCGTGAATGTTATTGTGCTTAATTTTTGGATTTTTCTGGTGTTTTAGTATGGTGTTTTATTATAAAATTGCAATGAAAGTTTTTCTGTGAATATAATTTATCTTTTTACGTATATAATTTCGAGTAATATATATTGAAATAATTGTGATTTTCACGCTGCCAACATCCGCCTGGTATGTTTTGTTTTTGTTATCAAAATACAATAGTCTTTTTGTAATGAAGTAAAACCTGACTTTTATATAGAGAATTTTGTATAGATTTTATAATGCCAAAATTCTTCATAGAAAAGTAGTCTCTAAATATAAGTTTTAATGGTTTCAAGTGCTGCGTGTAGGTGCGGTCGCATGCGACCGCTCGGGATTTGCCGGGCGCATGCGACTGCATGGGCTTTTTGTTGGGATTTAAGGGGTTAAGCTGCAATCCTGAGCCATACTTTATACCTTAGAGGATATGTCTAGCAGATGCATGATAAATATTATTAGGACAAATCAGACCATCTTGATTGATTTCCGATTTGTATTTAAAGTATCATTATCATTAGTGTGTGATTCAGGTACTGTGGCAATTTAGATCGGGTTCATCCATATAGTCGATATATAGTTAGGCGAGTAAAGAAGAATAATAAATAAGGACGCTCCTATTTATAACAGCCGACACTGATGTAAACATAACTCGAGCTGTATATTTAGATTTAAAAACTTAATAAAAGGTAAATACTGACATCTAAAAATTAAAAATAATAACATAATTTCCACATAATAACGTCTGAAGTCTTTGCTTTACTTTTGTCTTTTTCTAGGTGGTTGAACTCCTTGTTTGTCCAGGAGTCCATCTGGATATGCGACTCGCTCTTACCTATAATATATAGCAGTGCTCACATTACTGTTTTGTATAGAGAATTAACATTATTACAGGTTGTTATTAAGATGAGTTATTCGCGTAAACATAAGAAATAAAAAATGCCACTTAAATAAAAAGCTACCATGTGGGAATTAATTTTTCTAGTTTTCTGTATCAAATTTTAATTTTTTCAACACTTTGAGGAGACTAAACTATATCACTAATTCAATTATTATCTAAATTGACAAAGCAAGAATTGAATTTAATAAGCAATAAAAATATTATTTCCTATAATTAATATACACATTAATTTAATCCTACGAAATCATGCAAATCGATATATCGATATTTTTTTCACTTATATTTATATTTCATGCCGCCATAGAAATATACATACACATACTGTTATGTTCTTCTAGAGTATATTGAAGAACGGTTACCTTACTTCTGCGACAGACATTTATAAGTATTATTTAATACCACAAATAGACTTTTTTTTACATTTTATACTGACATTGAGGAGACTAAACTATATCACGAGCTTAATTTAACAACTAGATTATTATTTAAATTGACAAAGCAATAATTCAATTTAATAAGCAATAGAAAATATTATTTCCTATAATTAATATCGACATTAATTTTATCCTACGAAATCATGCAAAGCGATATATCGATATTTTTTTCACTTGTATTTATATGTCATGCCGCCATAGAAATATACATACACATACTGTTATGTTTTCGAGAGTATATTGAAGACCGGTTACCTTCCTTCTGCGACAGACATTTATAGTATTATTTAATACCACAAATAGACTTTTTTTACATTTTATACTGACATTGAGGAGACTAAACTATATCACGAGCTTAATTTAACAACTAGGTTATTATCTAAATTGACAAAGCAATAATTCAATTTAATAAGCAATAGAAAATATTATTTCCTATAATTAATATCGACATTAATTTTATGTTGACAGAAAACAGTGTTTAAAACATGTTTTTTTTTTGTGAAAATCGTGTCAGTGCAAACTCAGGGTTAGTGATGGTGTTATCGAGATCCCGAAATGACCCGTGTAAAGCCGGGACGGATTACTAGTAAGAAATAATTATTAAATATTAAAAACAAATGGTGATCTTTGGTATGCCCGAAAAATATGTGTTTAAGCGCTTTGCCACATATCACATGGAACCATAGAATACTATAATACATACATAATAGAGTGGGCGGAGCCCGCGTAGCCACTAAAATGTCACTAACAGGTCAATTCACACGTATAAATGTCAACACGAGATGTGTTTTGACGTTACAATCGTTTCCAAATTTCGCATGCAAATTATAATATATAGAAAATACCAGATTGCACCCTATTTACAAATAAATATGTATTAAAATTGAAACAATTTTTTTAACGATGAGTTGTTCAATCTACTCATACTCATAGTAAGACTTTTGTCTACAATGAGTAAATTTAGTCAGTATGTTAACACAGCGAATCGGGTTTGGCGACGCCAAGCCTCGTACAAAGTAAAGTTGACAGCCATTCTATTGTGTATTATAGTATTCTATGCATGGAACCGTTGGACATTGGCTCTTGAACTTACCATCATTTACTTAAAAAACCACGCCTTGGTGATTTAAATAAATTTTATTTTAGTTTTAGCGGGAACTTTATCGCAAACTTGCCATTCTTGTATTATCTTATTTGGTAATATACTACGTGAGGGTAATATGGTCATCTGGTTAGTATGGTCACTTTCTTATAACTCAAAATCTACAGCCATCTAGATGACTTTGTGATACGATAGCTCTTCATCAGTCCACGAAATAGTCAAGGCCACCACGCCATTTTGACAGTTGACATTATAGTAAATGTAAATGTAGTGTAGTTAGTTTTTTTTTTCAAGTTGATTTTTCGAAGCGTTCCTAATTATTGTTAAAGCTTGTTTGCTGTTTTTTCTTAAATATATTAGTTAAAGTATACGACTTCGTGTTTTTGTCTCTGTCCTTCTCTTAGTTTTGGTTTATCACTGAATAAATAATAGTTCATGAACAGAAGGATCACTCTCTGATAACAAACTTGCGAGTTTAGACCTAATTACAACGTCGCTAATGTTCATAATACTTTGCACGCCTCGGAAGCGCCCTGCGTAAAATTAGCCTACCGATTAAATCTTCGAAAAAAAAATTTATGCGGCGCGCGTATTAAATCAAAATGCACCTTACGTCCGCGTGCGAGTGTCTGTATCACGTAGCCCGTTACGTGCCTTTGTTAAGACCGCTCCTACGTGGGGTTAGGTGTTGTGATAAAACAAATTAAACCACTTTATATTTATTGGTAGTAGAATACACCAAGGTGAGGTATGCAATGTATTCAACAACGTGAACATTTTTGAAACTCAGATAATTAATTTACCTACTTAAGATTTTCTGTTTCACATATTTTTTGCTATTTACACACATACACATGTGACACGCGACGGCATTATTAATGAAAGAGTGGAAATGGGAAGTGCTACTATTTTAATTTTCTTTCTTTTATCGACCAAGTGTTTAACCAATAACCAGTATATGTTGATTTTGCATTAGTAGGCAGAGATGTAACTTATCTAAGATACAAGTATCTGAAATACAGATACAAGATACAAAATACGTATTTTCATCTTGTAATCTTAACACTTTTTTAAAATTCATTTCGTATCTTGTATTTAAATACCTTTTGTTCGGTATCTTAGTACTTTGTAGATATGTATGCTAAAATACTTTTAGTAATAGATAACAGATTCTATTTTGACATTTTAGGTAACATTAATTTTAAATGGCGTAGCAGTTCTTTCTTTCTACTTACAATATTAGCTTCAGTACCAACACAAAGAGCTTAAATGCTTGTCCTACAATTAAAAAAAATTCAAATAGTCTCATTTGGGGGCATGATCATAAGGTCACTTCGAAGAAAAATCAGTGTTAAACTCTTTGAACAACTTTTTACTTAAGTCTCAATTAAATCCTTTAAAATATAATTATGTCACGTTTGCGCGATCATCGCGATTTACATATAAAAATAAACTTTTATTAAAAAAAATATGTATTTTTACAAAAGTATTTTATTTAAGGATACTTTATTTAAGGTACCTTGTACATCACTGTTAGTAGGTAGTAACTAGTACTTAAATAGAAGTTCTGTGCAAGTAGAGGTCTACTTACACAGAACATCCATTTAAGGTCATTGACATTATACACGGAAAAATCGAAAAGTGCGAATTTGAAGTCGGGTCACTAGTCAAATAATTAATCTGTAACTATGGAGCCAGTAACTAGGTACCTAATTATCTAGATATATACATATCAATAATATTATCTTAACTTTCCGTATCCTCAGAAACAGTGAAGAATGAAAAGTCGACATTCCTATTGTTATTTAAGCACCCGTATGCTATGCAGTACCTTTTGGCTTTTTGCGTGGCCATACTTGAATAAAAACTCAAAAATAAATATCAAAAGTGCCTAAATACTTATAAGAGAAAAATGCTTTTTGTTAAGGTAAGGCGCGCGTCAGATCTAGCGCGCGAGCTGAGTGACAACTTCACCGAAATATCCCTTTTACACACACCAGGGAAATTGCAGATGCGTTGGCCTCGACCTTTAAATTAGACTCTTGTAGGCGTTAGGGCAGCGTGGGCATATTCTTATACCTAAAACGCGGAGTGAGATAAGTCTGGTTATATATTGCGGCAAAGCTTAAGGTGACTATATTACCTCACGTACCCTAATTTTAGCTATGTTCGATACTGTACATACTATATGAAAAAAAAATACATAAAACAATTGAGATAACAAACACTATCAAATGAATGTGTTCCATCACAATCTTTGTTGAAAATTAAGACATAGGTTCAAATTTTTCTCATTCACAGTCTCTCTTTAGCTTGGTTAATTTGTCTGAAAGACTACTACGTCGTATGTGCAACGAATGTACCGCCTTCATGTGCTGCTGGACGTCTCTGAATTTCCTGAACTCCATGTTACATAAAGGACAGTCTGCTTCGATCTTCCTCTCTTGGTGTTCCAACCACATATGGTCCCATTTGTCTTTCAAGCTCACGAACCTCTTCTTGCATATTATACATGCAAAAGACGAGCATCCGCGCATATGTTTAGCCTTAATGTGCCTTTTTAACTTCGATTCGGTACAAAACGACATGTCACACTGTATGCAATGGGAGAGCGGGCGTGATTCGTGCATCTGAAATCAAAGACACACATTTTAATATGTCTTTTAAAAAAAAACATGTTCAATAGCGCCGGGATTACTAGAGTTGAGTTGGAAACCTATTTGTCTAGGTAAAGTTGGACAAAAATATCGTAATTATGCACGATTTTGACGCCCGATAATCAATAACTACTTCTTTAAATAGTATACAGGGTTATTTTGCTACAACCGGTCAAATTTGCAGAGAAGATTCAGAATAAGTGATATAGGCAAATAGTGAAGAAAAATTAATTAAAAAAAATCTCAAACATACTGTCCTTTTTATCTTTTTAATTCGAAATACGTGGTTATACATTATTTTAACCGATTTTACTGCACGCGCACACATTCGTAAGGTCGATCGGTAGGCAAGAACGTTGTAATCCTTTCAATTTGGGATTATTTCAAATAAAATTAGAATCCTTATTTACTGTATTTTTAAAAACTGCAAAAAATTATTAATACATTTGAACTTAAGTTTAAAATTTGGCTGCCCTATGGAAAATAAACCTGTATGCTGGGAAAAAATATACGCATATATGAAATACTCAATAAAATTCTTAATCGAATAGATTTTTAACACCATAAAAATCGAGATATGATAAAATCGCCGTAAAAAGTTAGAAGTTCGAGTTCTCGATTTTTAGACGATAACCATATTATATTCTTCAATGATGTGAAAGACTGTGGCAGCGCTGTCGTAAGCCCACAAGCGAAACACACCAATCCTAAATCACGCAATCAATGTTCCGAGTTCACAACATCTTCGCAAGATTTGAATATCATTTCACGATTAAAAATCTTGAGTTTTATGACGAAGAAGACATTTTCATTTTCAAATTATTACTACCTACTTAGTCTCATATGAATAACGAATATGTAAGTAAGTAAAATATTATACCATTATTCCGGTAACAGAATGAAAAACTTTTTAATTTTACACTTTTTTTTCCTTTCTTTTGACCCTACTGGCCCTTCGATAAATCTTTAAAAAAAATAACATTGGGTGGGTATAAATACAGGGTTACTTGAAGTTAGATTTTATCCCAAATTATCCAAAACGCTGACAATTGGAAACGCCTAAAGCCCTACCTATATTAGAAGATTTACCCTAAAATAGTGCAAAATATCTAAAAGTGGAAACATTGCACGGACGAAAAAAACCGAGATATAATAAAATCGCCAAAAAGTTAGAAGGAGTGTTTTTAGGCGATAACCATAATTATATTCTTAAATGATGTGAAAGACTGTGGCAGCGCTGTCGTCAGGCCACAAGCGAAACACACCTAATCCTAAATCACGCAATCAATGTTCCGAGTTCATCACTAAAGCATGTTAAAGAATTAGATTCTTAATCGGCTACATTTTAATTTACATCCTTTAAATACTGATAATAAGCAAAAATGTTTCAAATAAAGTTGATAAGCAAAATAAGTTGATAATAGCGGAGCAATGATCAACGCAAGTCAATATGGAGCGAATCAAATTAAAAATCAAGTAAAAATTTTTTTTAAATAGAATACGAGTGACAATCGAGAACATAGTCCACCTGATGGTAAATGAATACTGTGGCCGTTAGCCATCTACAGGAGACGGTCCGAAATTGTATGAAGCGTAGGCCTGGTTTTGTACAAGTAGAGAAATAAATTAAAATAATATACTTAACCACTTTTGGTCATTCAAATCCACGAATTTGCTTTATTTCAGTGGTATTAATTAAAGTTGTTCAAAACGACTATAAATCAATAGCACGCTACAGACTATAAACTATAAATTTCTAGCGCGCTATTAAATACGCTATGTTATAGCGCGCTATTTATAAGAAAGCGTGTAGGAGGCCGGTAAGCGCGTTAAGTTTTGCAGCACGTTATATCTCTTAACACGTTACATTATATGTCGTCCATTGGATAGATCGCGTGCTATATAAGAACATTATTTCGTAATTTTAGACTAAAATAAAATAAAGCGGTAAAGAAAAACCAATGCACGCTTTTTCATACTTTTCAGGCATACTACTTTCTATAATCCTAAAAATATTTTTAAGTCATGTACTTTTTAAAATAGAATTAATTTTATTTTTGGAACCGAAATAAAATTATTTTTTATTATAATTGATGTAAACATTATTTTAACCGTAATATAAATTATAAATCAAATAAAGGTGTATTTAAAAGTTTATTTATTGTATTTATAAAAAATAATTATTTACATACACTTTTGTATCTATATTTTATTTACATTTAAAAATATTAATTAGGCTTCTTTTATCACACCTATGTCCTTTGATCACATATAAATATACAGTATGCACTAACTAAACAACGTCTAACATTAAATTAGGTCGCGCGCGATGAATAGCGCGCTACTAAATCAAATTTGCGTCACACGTCCTCTCCCAACAGCGCTGCTGCTAGAACTAATTGCCGCTAGATATTAATTCTTAATAGCGCCAAAGCGCCATAGCGCAATAGCGCCATGGCGACTACTTACATAGCACGCGCTATGTGTTATGAAGAGATAGCGCGCTGTAATATGGCGCTATGCGCTATATTAACCACCATTAGTATTAATATTTTAGTTTTAAAAACTGCAACACTACTGGCGAATTGATGTTTTGACGTTAGCTGTCGACTGTCATGAGGTTATTGATCAATTTATTGACAGATATTTGAATTCTGAAATGCTGTGTTATTCCTATCACCGATAGCCTATCAGATAGATTTATTATGTACAATGGGCTAATATCTCGAAACTGGGGTATTTGCTATTTTTGTCTTGGAATAAGAAACGTTCTTGTTGATATTTATTACATTCTTGTTGATATATATTTACGTATCAATATCAATGCAATTCAGGAGCTCGGAATAAACAAAAAAATGTCACACTACCTACATAATTTCATGACTTAAGTCATTTGTCAGACATGACATTTGACATATTTTTATGACGCCATCTTGTAAAATCACCAAAAATTGGGTTTGCATTTTTATTTTTAGCAAGTTATTTAGTTCGATTTATTCTCTTATTTTATTTTTAATAAAATCCCAGAATTTTTCGCTTTTTTACTGTATAGTGTACATATACTGGGCTTGAAATGGACCGTCTCCTTTGTCCTAGATTAAGAATCGAAATGCAGATGCGTTGTCACCCCTGAGGACTAATATGGAATGCCTTGTTTTCAGTGAAAAGGGTCTCCGGTTATCTACAGTCACCACACGAAACACAGCAGCATTAATCTGCTATTTTACGCTAGTATTCTGTGAGAGCGCGGTATTATTCCGGTTAAGCCGAGCCATTCGTACTACAACCAAAACTGTGTTGCATTTTGGTTCTTAATTAAGGATAAATGAAGATGTCTGTAGGCCACAGCATCCACTTACTATAAGGTGGACTGTGTGCTCGTTTGTCACCCTTATTCGATATAAAAACATATGCGCAGTTCACACGCGATAGAAGTGAAATCTTCAAATTAAATGAAATATAAAATCGGCAAATAATTAACTTAATATGATAATTTTAAAACACACGTTTTTTAGCTAATAAATGTTATGGTTCTTATTTAGAGATACGTAGAGCTTTAATTTAAGTGTAATAAACTAATAAACGAAAAGAATATTTTCTTTCAAGTAAAATTGCTTTGTAAAAGCGACGTCCACTTCATTCTAAAAGTAAAGTAATTTTATCGATCAAAAATTGAATAACTCTAGGTGGAACATAACATAAACGCTAAATGCCCTAAATACGACTAATTTAATATTATATTGGGTATGTTCCGAAATACAACGCGGTGTACTGTCCAATGCAAATGACGTCATCATTTGACACTTTATTGTACGGTGGAGGATATAAAACAATTTTTAATTGTGTGTTTGCCGAATGAAGCATGCCAGAATTTGTATTTATTCAAATACAAAAAATTATAGTATAATTGGATGGTATATCCATTAGGAGGATATAATGATTTTTGGAGCATAAAATGACAAAATAATCGCCAACACTTTTCCAAATGGCGCAAAACTATGACATCATATATTGTCCAATGTTTTGGAACGAATCACCAGTATAGCGTCGATTCATGACGTCATTTGCATTGGACAGTACACTGCGTTGTATTTCGGAACATACCCATTCTATCTAATTCTCTCGCCGGCTAAATCCTATGGTGATGTTTTTGATGTTTTGGTCTACTTTCAAATCACAACGAACCTAAAGAAGTGTTCACATCAAAACATGCCTTACATATTCTTCTATTTTCATAGTGCTCGTATTGTAAACATCGATATAAATGACAAGATGTGGTAGTGTGAACAAAAATTTTTCACGGTTTAAGCATAGAATTAATCAGCGCCATCTCTTAAATACTCATGAACTACCCCACGGAACTGTTTATGATTTTGGTTTTACCCTAGAATCTGTAGAAATACTCCCTAAGTTATCGTAAAAAGATTAAAATAGCCTTATTTATTGCACCTAATTTTATATATTTTAAAGAACATCGTTGCAAGATTTGAATATCATTTCACGATTAAAAATCTTGAGTTTTGTGACGAAAAAGACGTTTTCATTTTCAAATTATTACCTACTTAGTCTCATATGAATAACGAATATGTAAGTAAGTGAAATATTATACCATTATTCCGATAACAGAATGAAAAACTTTTTCATTCTACACTTTTCTTTTCGTTATTATACATTCTATATTATAGGGTCACCTATTGGCCCTTTTGGCTCTTCGATAAATCTTTAAAATAAGATTACATTGGGTGGGTATAAATACAGGGCTAGTTGAAGTTCGATTTTATCCCAAATTATTCAAAACCCTGACAACTTGAAGAAACGCCTAAAGCCCTACGGATATTAGGAGATTTACCCTAAAATAGTGCAAAATATCTAAAAGTGGAAACACTGCATGGACGCACGGCACGCATTGGTGCTCCGTAAACATTTTCGCACCAAGGAGTCGGTGCCATTTTGTTTGTTCAATGACCCGGTCATATGCAGTAGTATAATAAGTCTATGGTTGTAAATAATCATTTACATTGGTTCATAATCGACGAACATACCGTGTAACGTACATACATGTAAAAACATACAGTCGAATTGCAACCAATTCTTTTTAAAAGTCACCTGAAAATACATACCTGCAAATGCTTAATTAGGCACACCTTCGAGCGAAATTTCCCACCGCACTTGTCACAGATAAATGAATAAAGATTGTGCACTTTCATGTGTTTGGAACAGTTGCTGGAATCACTGAAGGTTTTGGTGCAAAGTTGGCATTTATATATGGCCATGGAAGCGTGTTTCCTCATGTGCTCCTTATATTGAGTTGGATGGTACTGGTCAACACCGCAAAGCTGGCATCGTAACTGGTTGTTATTTTTTACTTTAGACCTTAACGCTTGGAGGAGAAGGTGCATAATCAAATGTCGCTTGCATTCGTTTCTTCTAGAAAAGGTTTTGTTACAGACAATGCATATCCTCACCATTTTCATTTTTTCCTTTATTAGGAGCATATCTGAAAAGCATATACAGTGTGTTAGTGTAAACACCGTTATCCTTGAAACCAGTGGTTTGGTTACACTTATAGAACGTAAATTCAATGAAAAATAACAACCTTTTTTTTTTTAGTAAAATTTCAATTTTTCCTTAATTCCTCAAGTTTTTCCTGTCCTAAGCCAGGATGAAAGTATGAAGGAAAAGTTACATCACAGGTTATGTGTACCTGTTGTGTTTTTATTGGAATGTTGTATAGGTAGCTAGCGCGGGCAGTGATCTTTACAGTGATTACGTCACTTGGGCGCATAGGGTATCCATGAATTTACGGACGGTGTCGGACAGAAACTTTTTAAATTTTATGAAAGAAAATAGCGTTTTTTTTAAATTCGGATAAATATTTTTATATTAAAGCCAACTACCTATGGTTTTAGTGACAACGGTGTTTACAGCTACACCTTTCATATTATATACACCGACACTCCACACACCGACACACACAAGAGTCTTTGTGTAATAAGAAAATTAAACATTTATACCTTAAACAACCAAAAAGAATAAAATAAATATAACAATAGCTTTTGATGTTTTCATTACGTAGAGGGTTTTTATGTAATAAGTTGATCTGCAGTTAAATCAAAATTGAAGCTTTGTTACAACCTAAAGTTAAAGTTACAGCTTATATACGTCCCACTGCTGGGCACAGGCCTCCTCTCGTTATTGAGAGGGTTTTAGAGCAAGGAAGTGTCCGCCGCGCTGACCCAATGCGTGTTGGCGAACTTCACATGTCCTCGAAATATTTTATTCCTTATTCCTCAGACATGTCGGTTTCCTCACATAATTTTCCTTCGCCGTCGAGCACGTGGTAAATCAGCAATTAAAATTGCATTTAACAATTTCATGGTGCCCGCGGCGATCGAACCCGGGTTACTCGCGTTCTGTTATATTTACAGCGAGCGTTAACCATCTGAGCTACCACGGCTCTTCTGAGCTCTGATGATTTCGGCTCTTAATTGAGGATAAATGTAAATGTCTACAGGCCACAGCATGATGGTAAATGGAGCTTCTTGTGGTGCACTTAAAACTAAAATTAGCAATTTCGTTGGTATCGACAAAGAATAAACCAGCATACTTAAGACACCAAGACTCTAGCCTTAAATAATAATAGTAACTGACCAGTTAACTAGTTGTATAATATTGACTGAAGGCTATCATCATTATTATAATCATCATCATCATAATTATCATCACCCGTCTATAATGGTTTACTGCTGTACATGGGCCTTTCCCATTATAAGGAGAATTTACCTTAATCCTCACACTTGTACGTGGTAGTGCCATGCTGCAGTTATATTAGTAGTATAGTTGTAGCACGAATGGGTCGGCTCGACCGGGGAAGGACCACGCTCTCACAGAATACCAGCGTGAAATAGTAGCGTAATGCTGTTGTGTTTCGTATGGTGAGTGTAGAGAACCGGATACCCTTTTTACTGGAAACGAGGCATTCAATTTGTCCTCACGGGTAACAACGCATATGCATTTTGATTCGTAATCGAGGATAGATGTAGATGTCTATGGGCCAAAGCAACCAGTTACCATCAGGTGTGCTCGTTTGTCACCCTATATTATAAAAAAACTTGGCTGGAGAATTGAAGATCATAAGAGAGCACCTTTGACTCTGTAGACCGTCGCCATCTCTGGTCTTTTACGTCTGGCGTACACAAGATGGTACATCAGAACCGCCTTCTAGCGGAAGCCATAATTATTTTTAGCATATTACGTAGTCTCCTCTTACGACTCGCACTGGACAATATAGGTCCAAAATTAAGTGAAGGATATAGATTAACTCAAATTAAAAATTTGACAAACCTCTAAATACAAAAAAGCTGATGATCTTCAAGCAGCTGAACAGCTTTTCTTGAATCATAGCTAAGGACACCTTCGGCCATGAAGGTTAGAGAACAGGAGAAGGATCGCTACGTACTAAAGCATAGCCCGCCTGTCCTTGAAAATTGTAGAATGTATAGCGGCGCTGACTTCGGTGAGTAGTGACTGCGAAGTTAGCTGTTTATGAGTACAGGTAGATGAAGTTAGTTGAATAATGTATTTTCTCCGCGGCATTGGTGAGAAAATTCTCACGCTCCGTAATTTTGTAATTTTTGACAAAAAGAAACATTAAAAAATGGAGAAATATTTTATTGTACGTGGATGTGCAAGTGGTTTAGCATCTGATCGGAAAAATAAACTGAAAATGACTTTTACTGACCGAACTTAGCAATCGCAGAGCCTCACTTATGGTGTCCACATTTCTGGGACACTATTTTCTACGGGAATCGTTCTCCTGTTCTCTAACCTTCATGGCTTCGTTACCGCCTACTTACATTCTAACCATAAACAATTAAGTCAAATTCAGTTCGTTTGTTTGACCGACAAACACACATATATAGACGTTAAATCTTGTTTTCGTCAGGGATTAAAAAGGAGTTATATAAGTAAACGAAGGGACAATACCTATGACTTTTCTTGTAAGTGCAGAGTTCATTTCCGATTCGTCATCACAATCCTCATTATCATCTACTGTTTCTGGTTCCTTGTCAGTTTTCATATTCAAATGCAAATCCCAGTGACTGAAGATTTGTTCTGATTTAATCATTTCCATGCATTCAATACACTGAAGGATGTCATTCTTTTGTGAAGGTGATAAATCCAAGTTTTGTACATCGTGCGACTTCATATACAAGTTTCTTAAGTGTAACTTTATATGTGAGCACAACTTCGAGACCTCCTTAAACTGCTGTTTACAAGTGGGACATGTTAAAAATTTGTAATTATGCCGTGTTAAATGGAGCACGTAAAGTTTTAAAGTAGGAAAGACTGTAGTACAAGTTGAACAATAAAAAGACATAGCAACGCAACTCGAAGTTATGTGTTCAATATATTCATTGTAGCACCCTCGAAACGGACACTTTTTACATGAATAGAAGATTTCAACTTTTACAATAGACACATCAAGTTTCTCTTGAATATGTTCTCCTGAATCCCCCTTATCCGATATGAGTTCTTCTGCCGTAACAATATTACGTTTTAAGTTTTCGGTACATTTCCTCTTTGCTAGCCGCTTATTTTCGCCACACGATAATGCAGCATCACATACTGGATCTTTCATCCCGATTTTATTACCCTCGTCATAATGTACTTCCTCTGGATAAAACATAACTATATCATCTATTAGTTCTTCTTTCACTTCAGTTGTATGATTCAAATAAAATTCTACGTCTTGTGGATATGATGCATTTGAAATGTAACTTGAATGCGACATTATCATTTCGTCTTCTCGCTCTTCTTTCACATCGGGACCACGATGCCCATTAAATTCTGCATTTTGTAGACATAAAACGTCTCCTGGTTCTACTTTTATTTCTATACTATGCCTCAAACTATTATCTTTATCTTGTAGGTATGATGCATATGTGCCTTTGCCCAGACACGACTTTATATTATCATTTTTTAGTTTCTTTTTCACATTAGTTCCTAGTTCCGTATTGCTATCCTCGTTCTGTGGACATGTCACACTATCTTCCTTTTTTCTTTTGGCAATAATAGATTGACCTGAATGAGATTCTTTCACCACATTATAAGTTTCTATTACAGAATTATTTTTTGCAGTTAAAGTGTCAACTTTTTCGTTATGTTCTGGATGTGCTTCTATTGCACCATCTTTTCGGCATGAAATATTTGCATCATCGTTTGGTTCTTCCTTCACTGTCGTATTATGATTTGTATCAGATTTTTCTCTTTCTTTAGGATTAATAATTTTGACATTGTCTTTCACAAATTCTTTAGAGTTCTCATTCTCGTTGTCGTCTTCTGAATCTGATATTATTGTAACTTCATTAGAGTTGTTTAAAAGAATAACGTCATCATCATCATCATACTGATTATCGACCAAAGGTTCTTCTGTTTCCTTTAGCAAGAACCTCTGATAGCAATTGGATGCTTTGAAAACTTTAGATATGGCTGCCTCCATTTCAACATCTTTTTGTATTTCTGCATCTAATTGTGCTTGCAGTGTATATATATCACATTCTTCACTTTTATTTGGAACAACTGGCAAAGACCTATCATCATCTAAGATTATAACGTCGTCATCGACTTCATTGGAATTACTTCCATCATCTTCCAATCCACTCATAAAAACTTCTAAATCTTTCTCTGCAAATAAAAGTAAGAAAGATTGTTATAAAACACCCAAAAATAATAAGATAAATAAGAGTAGAATTTTTAAGAATGTGAAATATCAAATTAATAAAAAATCTATTCTTAAAGACCTTTCATATGTTTCAAAACACGATATATTTTTTCCTGGCACTTTATGTCCGCAATAAGCCACCATGTCGGATTATGTGTGACGTCATATAGCCTATAAATCGCTATAGAAAACGACGCTTCATCATATTTTGACAAATGAGGTACATAGTTTAACAGATCTGAAGGAACAGATTTACTTACATAAATACATACATGGTCTGCCAAAAATTATAACTTAAAATATATTAGCTTTGTCATACTCAAGTTAATATTAAAAATATTTGTATTCAATCTAAATAGTCAAATCTAAATAAAAATCTAAGTAAATAAGTAAAAGTCTTACATAGAGGTAATTTTTTTTATAGGATAGGGTGACAAACGAGCACCCAGTCCACCTGATGGTAAGTGGTTGCTATGGCCCATAGACATCTACATCTATCCTCGATTACGAATCAAAATGCATATGCGTTGTCACCCGTGAGGAATAAGATGGAATGTCTCACTTCCAGTAAAAAGGGTCTCCGGTTCTCAACACTCGCCATACGGAACACAGCAGCATTAACCTAGTAGCTTAGCTACTATTTTACGCTGGTATCCTGTGAGAGCGTGGTCCTTCCCTGGTCGAGCCGACCCATTCGTGCAACTATACTACTAATATATCTGCAGCATTGCTCTACCACGTAAAATGTTTCATGTGTACCATAAGTTACAACACAGAAATTGATATAAATTTAAATGTGGTAGACTACGGTGCACGGTGCAGCAGCAGGGGAGTTTAGAGAACCAGAGACCTATAATACTGCAAACAAGGCTTTCCACCATAGTCTTCAGGGTTGACAATGCATTTAATTTTTAATTTAGTTGGGGATAAATGTCCAGCAGTGGACTTTTATAACCCATTTATTTTATCAACTTTTCCATTTCACAAAAAAAAAAAACTTGGATCACTCTTACGTTATCTATCTGTTTATGAAGTTTTATCACAATTTGTTAAGCCATTTTGAAGATTAATCCGGACAGTCAGACAGATAATTTTTTTACTAATGGATATTCTTGTCTTAAAAGCATACGAATAACCCCCTGAGCATGACAAAAGTCAGCTACTTCAATAACACAGACAGACATTACAAATTTGTTTATATGTATTGAAGTGTTCATTACATTATTGACTATATTATATTGACTGCCTCGTTGGTCTAGTGGTTGTAGTAGTGCGACTGCTGATCATGAAGTCCTGGGTTCGAATCCCGGGTCGGGCCAAAAAATTGATTATTGAGTTTTTCTGTCCAGAAATTCTCAGTAGTTCCCCGGAGTCAGGAAGTTGGCGGTGTCTCACCCCCGTGCCTCGGAAAGCACGTAAAGCCGTTGGTCCTGCGCCTGATCTCTCTCCGGTCGTGTCGGTTTACCGCCCCATCGGATTATGAGAGTGAGGGAATAGAGAGTGCACCTGTGCTTGCGCATACACTGGGGCACCTTAACCCTGTCCTGTGCCGATGGCTAGTCTCCGTTGAGACAGGCCGCCGTGGCCGAAATTCGGTCTGGAGGACATTATTAATTACATTATTTTAAACAATATAATGAATTCACATTTATATACATTATCATTACCATTAACATATTTATCGCTTAACATTACATGTTGTAGTTATAACGCTATATTTGGTTGGCATCAGTAATTTTTTTTTTGTTGATATAGGTCTATGTTATTAGCACTTAAAGGCCAAATGGTATAAACTTAAAACTCACCAGGAATATTAAGAACTGTTTCCGAGTGAACAATCTCTCCCGTAATGCATTTCGTAGGTAATAACATCTGCAAACAAACACAATACATAAAAAATATGTTAGCAAATAAACGAAAAACACAATAATATAATGAATCATTTGTATTATACAATATTAAGTGTCAAGCTAACTTCAAGCTCTTCAAATAGTAAGTGCAGCCATACGACTAATTGTTTACGCGTGGGTAAGAATATGTTATGGAGGACTAGCATCAACTAAAACCATATTGTGTTCCACCTTCGCCGCATAATAGCAAGGTCTCAAGAACACTTTCGCTTCCGGTCACCCCATAGCAGCCTCTACTCGGTAGAGAACAACTTCTCCTCCGTGGTCAGGTGTGGTACACTAGATCACTAGGTGCACCTTCCCCCTCAGTCTCTAAATTCACTGAGAGAAAACGAGTGAATTGATGAAAGTTCCATACATTCTGACGTTTTATTACAGAAAATGGAAAAATGTAACAAAGGGGAAATTGTGATTTTTATGGACATGGATTTAAAGTATACAACAGTACGCACAAGTCGCGTATAGTTTCAATTTGTTATGAGCATAACTATTTTTAGAAACTATACATGGTTATTACGCTTTTATCGCGTACACTTTCCAATAAAGTACGCTAAAACTTTGAGTGAAAAACATACCAAACTAGCATATGTATATGTATATATATATATATATATATATATATATATATATATATATATATTTTTTATTTATACATAGCAGATATACATCGAGCATAAACGCGATAGAGTGTATGTTATTAATTACTACCTTTTTGACTTACAATTCCGTGTTAAAAATAAAAAAATAAAAGGAAATGTACTATGTAGATTATATAACATATATTGACTAATATTGACCCTTGAAGTCCTTCTGTAACAGCTTCAGCGCTGCGGGAAGTGCAGCCCCTTCGCCCTTGCGTAGCAAATTGAAGTCACCCATGCTCACCTCCGCAGCTTCGGCTTATTCCGCAGCCTCAGCCGCTACGGCTCGCACGGGTACCTGCAATTTGCTATGGCAGGCGGGGCTGCTTTCCCTCCGCGCCTACGGATTTACAAAAACCCGTAAATGTGGGTAGGGCAGGAAGGGGTAGGACAGACATGACAACATGGAGTCAGGGCGTGCTAATCCAGTCTGATAATATGTCGAAATGATTCGATCAATCATCTAATTAGCCGTGTTTTCGCGATCACCATAGATTTTTTCAGAAAATTCGGTTTATAATAATATTATCCTACGACATGTATAAAGTACCTACACATAACTATATTTATTTATGACAATAATGCCGTAAAAAAAGTATGTGTCAAATTGACAATTAATTGTATTTCTTGTTGAAGGTAATTGGACATATTATGAAGACAAATAAGATTTAAGTGCCTTTATAATAAAAATACTACTTTTATAATAAAAATTATTTTGTCTCTCACAAAGGACTTCATTATTTTAACAGATACCTTTAAATTGCCATAAAGTAATAACTACATGATTAATTGATAACTAATTGTTGCATATTTTTTTTAATATAATGACATTTACTTAAACTTAACTTAAATTTCTGAGCTTGTATACTTTACTAATACTTGTTACGCATGTAATCCTAAATGTATACAATGTCAGAACATGTCAGTTCTAGCCTTGTATAATCTCTTAACTCATTTACTGAATCAGCGTTAGAAAGTATACGCAACTAGTACGTACAAATCGTGTATATTTTCTGAAAATTTTATTTGCTACACAATCTGAAAACATACAGTGTAAGAACACTATTAATGCGTGCTATCCTTGTATACTTTCAATAATAATAATGTCCTCCAGACCGAATTTCGGCCACGGCGGCCTGCTTCAACGGAGGCTAGCCATCGGCGCAGGACAGGATTATAGTGCCCAAGTGTATGCGCAAGCACAGGTGCACTCTATTCCCTCACTCTCATAATCCGATGGGACGGTAAACCGACACGACCGGAGAGAGATCCGGCGCAGGACCAACGGCTTTACGTGCCTTCCGAAGCACGGAGATGATATACCGCCAACTTCCTGACCCCGGGCAGCTACTGAGAATTTCTTGACAGAAAACTCAATAATTGATTTTTGGTCCGACCCGGTATTCGAACCCAGGACCTCATGATCAGCAGTCGCACTACTACAACCACTAGACCAACGAGGCAGTTATATACTTTCAATATACCTTTATGGACCTAATGCAGTGTCGTTAAGAGTAATTCAAAGTAGGTTCAAGCGTTTTCAGTCCAGGAATTTTGATGTTAAAGATGCAGCTTGCTCTAGTCGCCCGGATAAAGTCAATACCATTTTTGAAAATTGGAGCAATATTGATATATTGGGTGCGTTTGGCAGAAAAAAGTAGAAGTTTGACGGAGAACCTAACCTAATTTAAATATATGTTTGTAAAGTATTCATATTAAAAATTAAATCAGAATTTTTAATAAATGTCTATCATAACTTATATTACTTAAAACTATTTTTTGGAATATTTTCTCAGGCTTTTTTGAAAGTAGTTACGACATAGCCAAGGAATTGAGGAATGATCACAAAAATTGTCGATATTTGGGTACCACATGAGCTCACTAAAAGAAACCTAATGAATCTCATTTGCGTTCTGAATAGTAAGTAAGTAAGTAAGTTACAGCCTATATACGTCCCACTGCTGGGCTCAGGCCTCCCCTCATTTCTGAGAGAGTTTAGGACAAGGAAGTGTCCGCCACGCTGCCCAAATGCGTGTTGACGAACTTCACATGTCTTCGAAATATTTTTTTTCTTATTCCTCAGACATGCAGGTTTCCTCACGATGTTTTCCTTCACCGCCGAGCACGTGGTAAATCAGCATTTAAAATTGCAATTAACAATTTCATTGGTGCCGGCGGGGATCGAACCCGGGTTACTCGCGTTCTGTAATATTTACAGCGAGCGTTAACCACTGAGCTACCACGGCTCTATTCGTTCTTCTATTCGTTCTGAATTGAAATGTAATGAAACCGGACCACTTTTGTAAAGATTTCACTGGTAATGAAAAGTGGGTCACCTATGACAAGAATGTGCGAAAAAGATCATGGCCAAAGGGTAGTCAAGCTCCACAGACTGTAGCGAAACCTAGATTAACACGCAATAAGGTGATGCCGTGTGTATGGTGCGATTGGAAGGGCTTAAACATATTATAAGCTTTTACCGCTAGGCAAAACCATCAATTCGGATTTCTATTGCCAACAACTAATGAGACTCAAGCAAGAAATTGAGAAAAAACGGTCGGAATTGATCAACAGAAAAGGTGGAAAAAACACACATCTTTGGTCACTTAGTAAAAATTGAGATCTTGGTTGAGAAGTGTTAATGCATCCACCATATAGTCCTGCCTCGCACCCAAAGATTTTTACCTGTTTTGATCTCTTCAGAACTCTTTGTTTGTTTGTTAGGTTAACATCTATAGAGGACTGTCAAAACTACTTGTCACATTTTTTTAAAATTTCTACAGCAACGGGATTATGTCACTACCTACAAGATGGCAACAAGATATCGAACAAAACAGCACACAGTATATTATAATTAAAAGTAATTTAACATTGAAAAAAAAATGTTTTTTTTTAATAGGATTGACTATTCAATGGGTGCATAATGTAACTAAATATCTTTAATAATCCGAATAAAGCTAATTATGGTCTAATGCTTTTATTTAATAATTAAGCTAAACCATCTTACTTTTATGAATATGTTATATAGTATTGCGATTTCTCAATTTCAACGCACGCACACACTCGCGTTCATATGCACGCACGCACGCACTCGAATTCATATGAACGGCTTTTATATTAGTCAAACTGTCAAACAGTTCACGTTGTTTGTATGTAAACACGTGAATTTGTATGTAAAAAGGTGTGATCAAAGGACAAGTCTTATATAATGCAGTAACTGGGTTTCATTCTAACCCATAGGAAACAATTACAATAATAGAAGTGGTTTCCAGTCTGGTCGTTATATGTTTGTACGGAACTGCACATGAGCTCACTTCTGATCTAATCAGTTCTACCTTACATTAAACACTGTTACCGTTACAGCCTATTAGAAGTCGACAGCTGAACACAGGCCTCCCTCATAGCTTGCTTTGTAGAGGGGATATTTATACTCATAGAGGAGATTTGCTATAGTTGCCACGCTTGGCTTGGAATATGCTGCTACTTATATTATGGTTTGTTTCTATTTGTCGCCTCTAAAAGCAGCCACAGGTAACTATATTGGGTAGTGGATACTTTTATACTACCACACAGTTGTTACAACATGGTAGGTTAAAATATGCCCCTTTAGTAGTTTAATGCTTTCGTGCCCATAGGACGATATGGAAACGGCTCCAACGATTTTCATAAAATTTAGTGTCCACGGGCTTTCGGGGTCAATGAATCTATCTAGCTAGGGTTAGGGTGCTTTACGTTTACAAGTAAACTTTTTTATTGATTATGGCCTATCAAAATTCCAGCTGAATATGGCCAATATTCAGCTGCCCACTTAGATTGCCTTATAGATGATATATGAGTATGCTTATATGTATATCTTCAGAATTTAAATCTAAAGCTACCTAAGTAATAAAAAGTAAAGCGACAGTAGCCTTATGGCAGGGCGCGGACCGCAAACTCAAAAAGGTCGTGGGTTCGAATCCGCCATTCGACTACTGGCGTGAACCACTCGTAACACAAGCAATTTAAGCTTACCACGAATGGTTAGGGGGAATATTAGTAATGTTTATAGCATTGTTATATTCTTTAAAAAAAAAGTTGTAACTCACCTTTGCACCCCACCTCTTTTTATCAATCCATCTCCCATGGCTTTTCATATGATTTTTATAAAAAGAGCTTTTAATGTGTAATAAATTATTTTTACATTTACTACACCAGGACACAAGCTTGTAATTCTTAGAGTGATGCAACATATGCTCCAGAAGCATACACTGGTTCATAGACTTGTCACAAACTGCACACTTAACAAGTTTCTTAGAGAATTGTATGTGCATGTTTCGGAAGGCCTTTGTAATGAATTTTCTAAAGCAAAATTCGCACTTTATATTATTATATCTTCCTGGGCAGTCATGAAATTTGTAAATATGATACGTTGTATTGCAAATAGCGCATAACTTTGCTTGCATTACAATTGGATCATCTGAATGTACTGAGTGTCGGTCAATCATATGGGTGTCAAGCTCCGTTTGAGTTAGACAGTATTGGAAGCACACTGGACATGTTTTGAAATCACTTGTGATCTCTACTCCTAATTTGTCACATTTCATTTTCATGTATAACATGCACATTCCCTCATGTTCAGCGAGTTTATTGCATGTAAAAAATACATTATTGCAACCTTCACACTTATATTTTGCTGATCGACGTCTGAAGTTATGATATTTGGGCGGCCTGCCACATTTCGGACAATTTAAAAAAATTTTTAGATCCATAGGTCTAAGCACCTGGTTAAAAAATGCTCCCACGTAAAACTCGTGATCTCTTGGTAAAGTTCTTATTTTAAATGTATTTTCAGCATGGCTCTTTATATGTTCTCGAAATGGGTGCAGTCTCCACCAGCCCATTTTACAAATATAGCACATGTACAACAAAGGTGAATCTCTGAAACGAGGACATGTCTCATACCAATCTTTCCATTTTTCAAATGCATCAAAGATAAGCTTATCATGATATGTTTTTGGAGTATCTCTAAATTCTCCATAAAAATTCCTAACAGCTATATCTAGGTAAGTGTCTGCTAAACTAGTACTCTCTTTTGCTTGCTCCTTAACAGCTTTTAAGATTGAAGTTCTTGTTAAAGTATACTGCTTTACAAGCACCAGTCCATTATTTACTTCCTTTTCATTTCTTGTTAAAATCTTTCTTAGTGTATATTTTTTACCCACATCCTCTGTGAAGTCAACAGTTTGAAATTAAGCTATGTTTCAAATTTCAAGAAAATAAATATACTAGTTCTATCTATAGCTGCTGATTTTACTGGAAAATATACACTTTTTTTTAAAGATTTCTTTAATAAGCTGTAACAATAACACTCAAGTGTGTTATACCACAAAATGTAGTTGGAGATTGAAGTCGTGTTGAACCTCCCTGAAAGGCCTCCCCTATAGATTGCCACAAAGGGGGACACCTGCCATAGTTGCCACGCTCGGCAAGTGGGTTGGCAACTGCAGTTTTTTATTTGTAATCGGTAATAGGAAGACGCTGCATTCCATCTCGTGATTGGTTTCTCTCTGTTGCCTGTAACGACGCCCATGAGATGTATGATGATGTGAATATTCTTACACCACCACTATGTGGTTCTAACACTTTAATATAAACAAACGCTTTCAAAAGAATCCAAGGACTATTCTGATTTAGACTACAGTTAAATTATACTACTGATGCAGCATTTAATTTATTAACTACAATTTAGTATTATATTTATATAATGACAGCGTGAGAAATTGTGTGATAACAGAAGAGTGTGGTTTGCAAGATGATGTTGTGACCAGGATTAAGGAAGGAATGAATCGGTGGTTTAGTCATGCGGACATAATGAGTGAGGAAAGAGTGACAAAGCAAATTTATGTTGCAGAAGTGAATGGCAGAGTTGGAAAGGGACGAAATTTATCGACCAAATTGGCGATTTATTGAAAACGGGCCAAATTAAGAGTACCCTTAACCGACGAGCATATATGCGTAGATATATGGATGTGAAGGAGGCGAGAGAGGTGTGTCAGGATCGTGCCAAATGGAAGTCTGTAGTCTCTGCCTACCCCTCTGGGTGACAGGCATGAGTGTTTATGTATGTATTATGTATGTATTTATATAATATATTTAGCCACATAATAATAATAGCAAATTATGTATTTATTATTTCTAAATACATAGTCATGAATTACAGAAATTGAGGTAGCTCCAGTAAGTTATAAAATACTTGTGTTGGACCGAACTCGCTGCTTCCCTAAAAGCTACATAATACAGTATTGCGACCAATCCATAGAGAAAACAGAGAAATAAAATTCAAAAGTGAACAAGAGAAAGCGGACAGCTAAAAAGTATGTGTTGTTTTTGCGTGAGTTTTTGTGTACATCAGAAGTTAAATTTTTGACGGCTATATACCGCATTGACTTAGCAATGTGTTGCGGCACTGAAAGCCTCGTTTTAGATGCAGCTAAAAGAGCAAATATATTGCAGTGGGCGGTTCACGATTTTATGAGACATTAATTGCAATTATTCCTCCCATTTATTATTATGTCATCGGAGTTGGGAGCGTGCTGATTCGGTCTTAGAACAGATTCAACCAATCGTATCTATAAAGTCAGGTTGCCCTAAACTCCTAAAATGTAATGTGAATTATTATAACATTGTTTTCTGGAAAACCTCTTGACTGCTCTCAACTGAAGTCAATTTGTTGTATACAAGTCCCGTCTTAAGCCACAAATGGATTGTCTGTTTTCGAGTAATTAACTTTTTTAAGGATGCATCCATGTTAAAAAAACAAACTAACGTGTTTGCATTTCGTTATATGCAATTTTAAGTGAAATTTTATTTTTATCATAATTAATTCAAAAGGCATTTCCGAAATCCAAAAACAGTGAAAAAGGTTCATGATTAACCCTGACAAACCTAAATTGAAAACAAAATAAAAAATTCAAGTCCCGAATGTCTACTTCATAATACACGACATTTTTGTCAACATATTTGTGTTTTGTTATAAGTAATTTTTAGCGAGATTTATTTTTAACATAATTAAATCAAAACATATTTCCAACATCTAAAAACAGTATAATAGGTACAAGCTTAACCCCAACAAGCCTCCTAAACTAAAATCAAGTACTGGATGTCTATAACCAACCCAGAACTTGCAGTTTTTAATTTTTATAGAGAACTACTCTTAACAAATATAGTATTATTTACCATTTATGCTTCCTCTACAATAGCCACAATGTGGGATTGTAGTGAAGCACTGGATAATAAGTATTTTTTTAAATATTATATTAATACATGAACATTCAAAACTGTGGTACATTTTGTGAAAATGAAACTCTTCGTCAGGTGGAAGGGCAGAACAATGTTTGCCGGACCAGCTAGTATTTATTATAAAAGGGTATGGATTATTTACAAGTGGTAAAATTAAAAATTTTGTACAACCAACTTCAATATAAATTATAATAATATAAATTTTTGTATGTGGTAGAGCCATGCTGCAGTTATATTAGTAGTATAGTTGTAACACGAATGGGTCGGCACGACCGGGGAAGAACCACTCTCACAGAATACCAGCATGAAATAGTGGCTTAATGCTGCTGTGTTTCGTATGGTGAGTGTAGAGAGCCGGAGACCCTTTTTAGTGGTAATGATGCATTCCATCTTAGTCCTCAAGGGGGACAATGCATCTGCATTTTGTTTCGTGATTGTAGATAGATGTAGATGTCTATGGGCCACAGCAACCACTTACCACCAGGTGGACTGTGTGCTCGCTTGACACCCTGTCCGATAAAAAAAATGAGTACATCAATGTATTTGATGTCAATAAAATATGCATTTATTAAGGATATCTCAAAAACCTGCTGGTCAGATCTTGATCAAATTCATATGGGACTACATGAAAAGCTTCAGCTTTCAAATAAAATAGGGATCACCAAAATTGAATACCTTAGAAAAAAGGTCTGAGGTAACACAATAAAAAAGATACAGTCGAATTGAGTACCTCCTCTTTTTTGAAGTTGGTTAAAAAGGTACAGTTCCATGTTTCTACAAAAAAAAAGTCATGTGTGTATGTTGCCACCAAGGCAGATAACCAGACTATATACCAGCATTATAAAAATCAATGTACCTGTGTCAATTTCTATAGGTTCAGATAAATTAATATCACTTTCATCCATGCTGAATGTGCCGCCATTGTTAACAACTTCTTTAACTGGACCATCTTTATTCTCAATATCATCACATTTCTCTACTTTCACATCAACGGAGAACTCTATTGGTTGAGGTGAGGTTACAACGTTTTTAGCAATACCCTTACTACTATCACCCATTTTATCTTCTTATTCAGAAATGCCTTTAAATCAGCCTGAAATATAGATAAATTAGGATTATTATAAAAAGTTGTTACTTGAAATTTAAAGTCCTGATACAGCACATAATCAGCAGTGAAAAAAAATATTGTGAAGTAACCAGTACATGTTATGCAGCAGTTTTATTGCTCCTTAACTTTTTGAGAAAAAGAAGGTATGTGCCCGTACATTGGCTGTAATTTTACTTTACATTTAACTTTAATTATGAATAGTATGTCTTGAGAGTAAAATCTATAAATTATACTGACTAAAATGAGCTGGAAATGCTGCATGAATTAAAAAAGCAAGCTAATAGATATGGATTTAAGGAGCTACTTTGAGAATTTAAGACTTTCCAAGTTTTTTGTCTTGTTGGAACATATTTACTACACTTCAAAAGCGAATCAATTTATAAAATAACTATTACAATATGATGGGTTTCATATAGCATTTATTTCGTTATATAAGCTATAAATAAAATATTAAAAATTTAAATATAATAAATAAAAAAAGTTCAAATATTTTTAATTCATTTGGTTATCAGACGACCAGCAATAACCTTTGATAACCTAAATCAAATGCAAATTCGTTTTTAATATACTGCTACTAAGACCAATATTTTGCATTAGCAAATAATAATAAAATAAAAATATTTATTACAATTGTAATACAAGTTACTCTATTTTTCATAACCTTTATACTTAAGTATTTTTCCAAAGTATAACACTGTTCATATCTGATGCAAAAATTTACATCTACCTACATTACATTAACAAACAAAATGGTGGTACCTGCAAAGCTTTGATATTTTCACCTTGCACGGTTAAGTTATAATACAACTCGACTGCAGTTTAGATTTCTTTTCATCCAAATATACAAATTTAAAGCTGTATGTCTCTTCCTCTTCATATCACAATGCTCTTAAAAATTTACTGGGCGACTTAATAGAACACAGAATGTAATTTACACGCACATATTGAGTTAACACGTTTAATGACACAGACATATTTTATATTCATAAGATTTCATTTCACCGAGATGATGAAAAAAATTGCTTTCTTTCTCTTAATAAGTACATATGTACATAATAATCATATATATAACTATATAATTATTAACAAAAGCCAAATTACCGTTTTGGAATTATAAATCCTATTTTTGTAGGGTAGACATGTATACAATGTACTCTGTGGGGTAGACCTAGAAACTCTATGCCTAGAAATATGGCAAACCGGAAACAGGAAAAAAAATGTATAATAAGGAATATATATTATGTTACATATATTATGATTATAAAGTAAGTTATAAAGTGAAGTATAAGTATTATAAGTCGTCTATCTCACTTGTATTTTTCAGCGCGTTCTTTAAAATTCACCTCGTAGTTATAGTGGCACCACCCTTATTTAACGGTTTTTGTGGACACTTTTTAATACACAGTCTGTACTCCTTACTTCTACACTCCATAAGTACTACGTTAGTATCATGAAGTATAGAGGTAAGGAAGACAGTTTCCCATAGGAGATAGTTGAAAATGTGTCCATCCGTTAGCAGTAAATAACAGTTCAAAAACTCTCCACAACAGCGCTCGAGTAGCTACAGGGTATGATAAATTGCCGTAAAATACGTTGAGAGTGGTTTTATATTGTATCATTATTGTAAAAAGAATTATGGTGAAAGTCTGTGCAATAAAAAAATATAAAAAGTTCTTTAAAATTTTGACTGTAGCTATACGCCACTCTTATTTAGTCCTTTCCTACGGACACTTTTTTATACAGAGTCTGTACTCCTTACCTCTACACTCCGCAGTTAGTACTCTTCGTAGACAGAGAAATCTATAGCCAAATTGACGCCTTCTTTCGCATTCGCACACGAAAAAGATAGATTTACGCATCCGTCTTGCATAGAAATGAGACAGAGCGGTGTGATTGTTTGTCCCTTTCTCCGTGCCGGTATTTTGTTTAGCAAACTACACTTTGCTAAACAACTTGACAGTTCGTAGCTATCTAAGGAGTTTACAAGTTGGTTTAAGTGAGAAAAACGTGTTTTTGAGCTTAAGATTAGTGAATATTGTTCAGTTTAGTTCTTAGAACAATTTAAAATTTTATCTAGGTAAATATGTTTAGAAATCATAACATTATTGTATAACCTAAAACTATGTCACTTCTCACTCGAGGCCACGCTAATTATTAGTCTATAGGTTTCTCTGTCTACGGTACTCTTATTATAATATATAATATTATAATATTATATTATAGTTTGTGATTAGTACAGAGTAGTACTGTAGTATCGTCATTTTACTTATTCTCACTATACACTTTAGGCGTAGACTTGGGGCTCATATGGTTAAAACCATGAAGGTTAGAGAACAGGAGAACGGTTGCCGTAGAATAGAAATAGTGATATATAATATATAGAATAGAAATAGTGTCCCAAAAATTTGGACACCATAAGGGAGGCGCTGCGATCGCTAAGTTCGCACAATAAAAGTCATTTTCAGTCTATTTTCCGATCAGATGCTTAACCACTTGCACATCCACACACAATAAAATATTTCTCTATTTTTTAACGTTTCTTTTTAAGATAATAGATAAGATAAGATAAGAGAAGTCTGCTCTGTCAAAAGCACCTTCTACGTCTATGAAGGAGCCTAGAGATATTAGTTTGTTTTGGATGGCCTCTTCAATTTTTGTTATTACGTGGTGAAAACAACACGCCTATAGCTTAGGTAAATTGACAGAATCGGCACATTCTGTCAATTTACCTAAGCTATAGGCGTGTTGTTTTTCGTGTAGCGTTAAGTTAATTAGCCTCTCTCCCTCGAACCCTCTCAACTCCCGTTCACACATCCTCTCCATCGTCTTTAGGAGAAAGGATGTGAGGCTAACGCGTCTGTAGGATTTAGGATCTGTATAGTCGTTCTTACCTGGTTTGGGTATGAACGTGACTTTCACTTTCCTCCATCCTCCCTTAGGAACATATTTAAGATCCAGACTTGCTCTCATTATGGCAAAAAGTCTGACTATTAAGGTTTTTGCCCCCACTATAGAAGAGCCGGGACTATGCCGTCAGGTCCTGCCGCCTTACATGGGAGGAAACTATGAATGACCCAATGGATTTTGTCCATCGTCACCCACTCCCTGTGCTCAATTCCAGTCTTCTTCTGTTGGTGTCAGTGCGTCTTCACGCCGGTTTACACTTTCAACTATACAGCAGCCTGGGAAGTGAGTATCAATTAGGATGCGTTGGGTGTCATAGGACGATGTTGAGTAGCTTCCGTCGCGTTCCTTTAAAAAAAGGACCCCGTTTTTTTTTTGCTAGATTTTCCTTATCCGATTTGCTTGTTCACAGATTTCTATGTTACCACAGAATTTGCGCCACCATGTTGAGTGTCGATACCTGATACATTTTTTGTATTCAGACTTGACTTTCTTATATAGTAGCCAGTCTTAATCTATTGAGGTGTTCATGGCCCTATTTAGGGTTTTTCTTACCTTCTTACGTTTCCTGTCTAGTTCTTTACCCCACCACAGTTGCTTTAGCTCAGCATGTTTTGATGGAGTGATTACTGGACATGATTCATGGTAGCTATCGATCATGGCTTTAGTAACAGCTGCTACCTCTTCTTCTAGGAGTGATTGATCTGCTATGGTATTAGTTCCCCCAACACCCGCCAGCGAAGACGTCAGCCTATTGAGGTGTTTTGTTTTATCCGTCTTGCAGGGGTTTCTCCATGGTGGTATAGCGGGGATATCGACCTGAAGAACGCAGCAGATCCATCTGTGGTCTGTGCATGAGGCCTCTTTCGACATATGCCATCCCGTTATTAGTTTAGCTGCTCCTTCTGTTGCAAGTGTGAGAGATTTTTTTCAAGTGCTAAATAAATATTCAACTAACACCCTACCTGAAAAAAAAGGGTTTTCGGTTTTTCCATTCCCACGTTGCGATGAGCGTTGGAGTTCATCCCGACCACAACCTCAAGTCCGGCCCTCTCGCAGAAATTCACCAGCCTGACAAGATTATTAGAGGGAGGAGTGTCTTCCTCAGGCATGTAGACCGAGGCGACGACTAATCTTCCCTCATGTGTATTTTGTAATGCTACGGTGTACATGTCTCTGGAACAGAAATCTGTTAATGGTTTTGCACAGATATTTTTAGTAGTATAAATACACGCTCTAGGCATGTCGTGCTCAGAGTTGTAGAATAACTTACCTTTCAGGTTGTTTAGGCCTTTAATTTTACCAGCCCCAACCCATGGCTCCTGGATTAGGGCTATGGCCGTCCTTTGTGCCACCAATCACTTACGTAATTGAGCCGACGCAGTTTCACTGTGGTGGAGGTAGTGCAGGCCACTAGGCTAGTACTAGCTGCCCTTCCTAGTACTAGTAATAATAATAATAATAAATATAATATAATAAATGGATAAGTGCGGTCCTCCATGTTGAAAGGGGAAGGGTTGCTAACTCTGAGGGCATAGACTTGTCTATGCCCGTCAACTTAAGGACCCTTTCCGAGGCTGAAACATACCGATACCTGGGTATGTCACAGAACATCGGTATCGATGAGGCTGGTATGAAACAGTCAGTTTGCGACGTGTTTTATGCACGCTTGACCAAAGTGCTTAACAGCCTTTTGTCCGGTGTGAATAAGTCACACGCATATAACTGCTGGGTCATGCCTGTCCTCATGTATACCTTTGGCATACTCAGGTGGACTCAGACTGAGCTTAACGCCCTGGATAGAAAAGTCCGCACTACCATGACGTCCCATAGGATGCATCATCCGAGATCGTCGGTAATGAGGCTGTACTTGCCGCGAAAGCATGGTGGACGTGGTTTTCTGAGCGCGCTCACCATGCATAATCGCGAAGTGTGCAGCCTACGTGATTACTTCCTGGCGAGATCGGATGATCCATTCTATAATGACGTCATTTCTAGTTATAAAGGGCTTACCCCTCTATCCTTAGCCAACGAGCAATGGCAGGA